GCCCCCCCCCCCCCCCCCCCCCCAAACCACTTCGCCACGCCTACGCAGAACCAGGAACCCCCATAACCCAGGCATGGGGCCCCCCAACCACTCCGCCTCGCCTATGGGCGAACCGCATCAGCCCGCTTCTTGACCAGCGCCGCCGTTCCCTCCGAGGCTTCCTTCGAAAGACCCGCAGGCTGCGTGACCTTCTCGCCCGTCACCGTAGCCACTACTGCCGCCTTCGTCGACGCCTTGGAAGCAGCGACTTTCTCCGCGGCCGGGCAGACAATACGGGTGGCCGTCTTCTTCGTTCCACTCTTCGCCTTGTTCACCGCGAGCAGCACCGTCTGCTCCGCGACACACTGCGAGTTCACGAAACCCCGTTCTCGCTCGTCCTCCCTCTTGCACATCTCCTGCCGCTTAGCGCGCTCGACGGCGAGCAGAATCGTCAGCTCCGCGGCCAGGGCCTGCGGGTGGGTTGGGGGTACTAATGTAAGCGCATGCCGTATATATTCGTTTGGCCATAGGCCGGAGCGGAGCGAAATGCCGGGTGCTCGCCGGCCCAGGCTACGTTTCAAAAAGAAGGACATGAAGCTGGTAATCATTCTTGGGAGGGCGGGGGGGGGGNAAGGGTGCGCTGCATCTTGCTAAGGGTGTTCGGCATCTTGTGCTTACTTCCTTGCGTACGGATGACAGCTGCGTATGACTGATTTTTTTTTCTGCTGCTTTACTTCCAGAGACAGTTGTAAGCACTGTGTAACTGCCTCGAAGGTGCTTGACCAATTTAACACAACGTGGTGCGACGGGGGGGGGGGCTACGCAGGTTATACGAGCATCAGCGGATGCGCCACTGATAGCGCGTCCTCTCGACAGAATCGGGCATATTGTTACCACAGGACCGATCGCCGATGGCCAATGGCTTTCTGCCAAAGGTGGCTCAAATTGTTGTTGTTTCTATCCTATCGATATCACTTGGGGTATCGGGTGTGGAGCGGTAAACGGGCGAACGACTCGTTAATAATAGCTGAAGCAGCGATGTACTTGGGTGCCGCGAGGCGAAAACAAGGCGCGGACCCGCCGGCAAACAATGGCATCCCGTTTTCAAAGCGAGACTCTTTTTGGTTCGGCGAGAATCGAGCAA